AAATGTGTTCTCTTTTCAACTTTGTCACCTCAATTCTCGTCCTAGGTCTTTCATTTTGGTATCGATGTGTTCGCAATAGAATTCCCCACAGGAGTATATGCATATACCTGTAATGTCCAAAACTGCGGCGCAGCCAAGCCGAAGGCAGGCCAAATTCTTAAATTTTTGACGCCATACTGCGTCATTCCCGAACGCGTTAAAATGAGGTGACAAATTAGAAAATAAGAATATATAAAATTAAACTAAAACTACAGCTCACAAATTCTGAAAAGAAACCACATTCACTGCATCAATGAATCTCTAAGTGTGAGCACTGCCCAAACCTGCTGCAGTTTTGTAATCCTTTAAATTCCTATTGGAGTCCTTACGTTACTTAGAGTCCTCGCGGATGCCCGAGATATTTTCAGCTTAGGAATACAGTAGTGTGATTTGACGGTAATAAATACAGTAGATTGTAGGTCTCAACTGAAGCTACGATTATGCGGTAATTTATTTAATCCAAAGGAAAAGGACTGGTATTTTATTTATTTTATATTAAAGGCACTGCCTACTCTTCCATTCCCACATTCAGCTTAATATAATTACCTTTTTTTCCCAGTGCAATTTTTTTTTCCATTTTATCAAAATTAGTTGCTACCAAATTTGAGGGCTATAAATGAAATATATCATTCTGGTTAAGCTGTAATGGCCAATTTGTTTTCCATAGCCCTGTTGGGGGTGTATTATAAATTACCCAAATCCAGATCAATTTATAACCTAAAGTGAACATTACTAGATGTTCCCGGTTGAGACATGCTTAAATGTGTGTGGCCATACCATCGTCATCTACCAAGAGTAATTGGTGTATTGCTTTCATGAATTAATGTAGTTCCAGAATTTGTACTATTTTGAAAATAACTTAACCGAGAGATGCTTATTACCGCGAATGTGAATTCGTGTACAAGCATACTGGCTAATAAGTTTCAGTTACATATTTGCTGTGAATGATTACTAGCCTTTTTAGAATTTGGTAGCAAAGAATGTTAAGCCAAAACTTGGATAAAAATTAGCCTAAGTTATGAGTTATCAAGTGGGCAGTTCATATTAAGACTAAAAACTTTGTGTGTACTGTATGCAGATTGTTACTCAAATATTCACTTAATATAAATCCTTTCTCTTAACTTGCTAATGAAGTGCCAGTTGAGACGATCAGGGGTATGACACAAGAGCTTACAGTGACCTTCAGATTGACAGTTTCGGTGTTGTTCATTCCAGGATCGTGAAATGAGCTGGTATGAACCGAACTCCTGCGAAGTATAGCCCTGCACCCTCCGTGATTCTGCATATTATATTATGTTTGAAAACCAGATTTCTTCTGATATGTCTGGCCAGATGTTTTAAATTGCCATCCTTGCTGGTTTTACTCTTAGTTAGCTAGATATAACTTAATATCTCAGAAACGAATGGTATTTTCAGTTTCATTGCATTGTAGGAAACCTCTCCCAGTAATATACCTCATTTAAAATCTGGAAAATTAGGAACATTTTACGAATAAAAAGTGTTAGAGGAATCCCGTTATCTAATTGATATATTTCCATGTGTTGTTAAAACCTATGAATAAATATGTAAAACGTAATATGCATATGAAGAGAAGGTACCTTCAATTCATATTTCATATTTCTCCACTAACTTTGGTGGTTAATGTATTCGGGATTGAAGTTGATGTAAAAGGGTTTCTTTCGAACGTGTGATACTATTGAGTATATGATACACATATACCTCAGGTATTCATGAATTAGACATGTCTTGCAAGTCCAGGTCATGTGATTAGATTGTTAGCCTTTACCATGGATTTAATATTAAATATTAAACAAAAATACTTATTAAAATGATTTGTCCTGGTTAATAAGTTTTTTTTATTACCTCACTTGAGGAGGGCATTAGTCCATTAACTAAGAATAACTATCCTAATGCTTTTATTAGATGTTAGAGGAAAATTAAGGCTCCATTAAGGTATATATAATTCTTGCATTGTATCACACTGTTGTCAAGTAGCAAGCTCATGCATGTCGGGCTGTGAATCTGTCGCTGCTACTGTTGATCATAGGATGAGCTTGTTGATGTTCCAGCAGTGTGATGCATTACATGGGTCATATAGCTTGTTAGGGACTGTAATATGTTCTCATTCCAAGTGTAGTTTATTGAATTACAGAATTTTATATTATTTGGCAGATGGATTTTGTTTTAGAATATCTTTTAGTACAGTAATTTAGAAATCTTAAGAGATTGATTGCATTGAATAAGCTTTTGGTTATAATGTACACATTATCTTACTGCCTTTAAAGTTAGTTTATACAGTGGGTACACTTGGATAACGGACAATATTTTGCAATGTTGAATTCTTCTAAATTACCAGTTTCGTTGATTTTCTTCTGGTTAAAATATTTGTAGGGTATGAAATTTATCTTCTTGATAAATTGTCCAAAAGAGTTCGATAGTGTAGAATCAGTTGTGCTGAAGGACCTTCTTATAAATCCTAGGCAGTTTATATATTTATATCTATATACATATTTATATATATATATATGCTGTGGGTTAACCATCCACTGTGAAGGGCACATACTTCATGCACATATTTGTTTCCTTATCTGAAGGAGTTTGAATTAAACCAGTGTGTACCTTACCTACTTACATTTTCCTGTGAAGCTCATTGTTGAGTTCCATTTTTGAGTTATGTGGAAGGAATGTATGCATTTTCCAGAATTGTTTTTTGCTTTTCAATATTCGGGAGGTATTGCACTTGCATATTTTTAGGTTATATTTGCGGATAATTTTGATGAAACTTAGTTGAATAGTGAAGGTTTTTTGGGATCTAACCATGACCAGCAAGGATGATGCATTAGTTATGTACAAGGAAGACATGTTAAGCAAAACAACCAAATTGTTGTAGAAGTGCAGATTTGCTCATGCTTATAATAGGGCTGATTATTTTTTCAATATACATATTGCTGCTGTGTTGTACTGATGCAGCTTTCCGCGATCCTATATACTATTTACATTTCTAAAGGCCAGTCTGCCTTCTATGGCTCAGTTTTAAGTTTTGCATTATAAGAATTTGTTTGTGATTGGCTTTCTTTGAAATGTGCGAAGTTGGATGTATTTTTGTCCAGTTAGTGTTTTGATGTCATTTGCTGGACAAAATGTCTGAAAGGGATGTTTATAAGTGGTATTGAACCCGGTTCACTGAAGATAGACAGGCAAATGCAGATGCCTATGTGTATTTGAGTAGTTTTTATTTTATGGTTTAAATGTGGCATGAAAAACACTATCTAAATTACTTTTAGTGAGGGAAAGAATAATATTAAGGTTATGCAGATATCTTATTCTTTAATGATTAATATATATATTATATATATTGTTTTTATTGAATTATATTAAATGTGTTCTATTGAAAATTTTCTGCTCAACTAGGGGACCTCACTGAACCTGTGATGTGCTGCAATCTGTAGATATTGTGGCATAGAGTCAATGCAGAAGACAGAATGATCTAATATTTCAGGCTAATTGTTGTTCTTTACAGGAATGGCAAGAAAGCTGATTATAATTTTATATATATTTACTGATAGTCTTCCATGTTCCTTTTTTTTTTCGTATGGTGTAATATTTCACGTAGGATTTATTCACTTCTGAACTCAAGTCTTATGTGATATCACTTTTAATTATTTCAAATCAGTTACTTAACTTTTCCCCAAGAAGTATTTATCAGAAGTGATTAGATTTTGCCTATTTATACTTTTCTGTTCTATTGCTTATTGAAGTAAGACCAAAGAGCCAGTTGTGATATTATTTTAGTTTGTAAAGAACTTATCAGAATTGGCCTCTGTGATTTTTTTTTGGGTGAGACAAACATCAACACTGCTTCAGGAATCATATATGGTAAAGATTTTGCAAAATATCATTTTTTTTTTTTGGCTTTGTAGAACCTTGCAAGGTTGATTTACAAAATGATGTATGTAGGAAAATTAGCCTACGAAGGTCTACAAAAGCAGTCAGTTTTCCATGTTCTAACAGGCACGCGTTAACACGCTGTGTTACAAGTTGGTAAAAATATCATTTTCATAGCATTTGGATTTTAGACGAAAGGTGTGGGTTGTATCCCCAACCAATGTCATTATAGTATTATTTCTCAAGGATTTTCCATTTTTAGGTTACTTTTGTGATACCCCATGGTCTAGCCTGAAGAATGAATGTAAATTTACCGGCTTTTAGACATTTTGCTATGTTGTACAAGGGAGACTGAATCATATTATGTATTAGATATTTATACATTTTATCATGGTGCACTGGAATGGTGTTGCCAGATTTATGGATACAGTATTAAGATTTGAGCTGTAAATGTCATTACAGTATATGGCTGGATTGGTCATCATGACTTATTAACAAATAAGATGATTAAAAAAATCCTGTTAAAGATTCTGAAGCAGTGTTTGTCAGTATAAAACATTAGCTTTATACATAAAAAAAATCTGATGTAGGATCATGATATGTAACGCATGTTGCGTAATTGATAAAAGCTCAACACACACACTGTTCTTGTATGTATACATTATGCACAAAATTTCTTAATGCTGCATGTATGTAACTGCAAGTATGATGTCAGAGAGAGAAAGTGAGAGAGATAAGGTTGCACACATTCCTGGTAACGTTGTCCATTACATAATTCCGAACATCTAAAATCTTCTTGTGACATGCTTAATTTAGATAATTATCTCCAGAATTTTAGTAGATACAAAAGTGGCTCTGACTGATGTCTAGTACTTGTCCTTAGATCATGGTTAAAATAATTGACACTGTATTCTAGTTTACAGTTATTAAAAATTTGGGTGTCTAGACATTTACTGAGCCTTGTGTAAACAATTTTGCTGCTTTTTAAGTTTTGTGGTTATATGTGTGAGTTTCTAAATTGTCGAATGTAAGGCCCTCCCGAGTCTAATGGCGGATGATCGCCCGTTGTTATGTAGGATGACTTTGCTGACGGAGACCTGTATGATGCGGTCCTCACGGGTGGTGGAAGAGAACGTGAACGCGAGGCCCCTTCCAGCCCAACGCCAGCTTCTACAGAACGCAATGGAGGCACTGCCCCTGCTCGTCAGTCATCATCTCAGTCTCAGAGAGGACGTTCTGTGTCCTCTGAAGAACGCTCAGTCTTCTCTGGCCCTGTGCCACACAGTGGACGCAAATATCAACTTTATGTGGGCAACTTGACTTGGGTGAGTGGAGAACAATTTGAAAACTTTTTAATATTGTACTGTATATATTTATTTATTGCTGACTATGGGTAACATTCAGGAAAACATGTACTTGCCCATTGCCTGAATCTAGTCACATAAATTAAGTCAAATAAAAGTAGCTTTTATATTAGAAAAATGTTACGTCATGCTTGCTATTCTTATAACATTTGTGCTGTTAGTATTTATTTTTGTATACCACTTTTAATGTAATAAGAGTGTCGTGTATGTGCTATATATATATTATATATATATATACAGTATACATATCCATATCCATAATTTACCAAAGATATATTTGTTTACTTAGAATGTCTTGAATTTATTATGCACTATTAGCATTTTTGATAACTTTAATAGTTTTCAAATTATATGAATAACCTAATAGCAAAAGAAATTGCATTAGCAATACATTTCTTCAGGAAAATGGATGATTCACTGTATGGCATGATTTTTGGTTTATAAGTGGTGATAAAAACAAAGTAAATGTTCCATTAAAGCCACTGTGTGCTTCTTTGTGTTCTGATAGATAAAAAGTTCAAAGATTCCTAGCTGTATATGGTCTTGGTATTTCTTAAAAAAGCCCAGATGCCCACGTGGCCCTTCTTAACATCTTCCCATGTGTGGTAGCGTACATTTGGATAGCAGCATTATTGTGTTGATATTGAGTATTGTTAAACATCTGTTAAATGGTGATCATACTTTATTTAACAGTGATCATACTTTTGAGTTGAGGGAGATGTTTGTAGAAATACTTATGGAAACGAGTTGTCAGCCTAGACCCCCGATTGTCCCATGTTATGGTTTGCTAAAATTATCTGCGATCTTTTTATTCCCCCCCCTCCCCTACTTGGGCTTTAACCAAGTCATAAACAACACTAAAGTCTACTTTTGATTAAAATTGAGTTCATTATCAGTATTATCACCTTTCATCTCTTTTTGAAGGACCTCTGGTATGAAGACATTGTTTACTCTTCATATTTACCATTGTGTTTGTTATCATTGTTTATAAACAGCTTTATTCTGCTGCTCAAGTCTTTGCATGTATAGTAATATTGTCAAATGTTAGTGCCAATATTAAGAAGAGAAGGGATTGTAAATATTCCTAATAAAAACCTTTTAAATTGAAAATGTGTGATGGAAAAGTACCCTCTCAGAAAACTAATTTGCTATGTGTAGTCTAGTTGTTTCCTTGCTGGTGGTAGTGCCTTGAAGTCAAATGGATGGGAACTTTTTTTTTTTTTTTTTAGTAGCAGTTGTATGGTTGGTCCCCAAGCTTTAGATAATTTTCTGGAACTTGGAGATGCCTATGTTATTACAAAGTTTTTTTTTCTGTTAATAAGATCTATTTACTTAGTTTAGAGTGGCCTAATCAGAACTGTAAACAATTGTGATAATCTTTGTAATTTTTTAATGAATGGTATTTCTCATTGTATTCAAGAAATGCAATTTTTTGTGCTACTAATTGATCTAATTTACTTTCATTTATTCAGCCCCTCTCTCGTGTATCAATTCCGTTCATGTCTTGGTTCATTTGAGTAATAAAAACCACAGAATAACAAATTATATTCAATATCTTTGGAGAGGTTTTGCAATTAAGGGAGGATGTGCGTGTTTGATATAATGACGAACTTTCTCCTCCCTTTCCCCTTGGAATACGGGGTACACTGAGCACAATCCATCAGATAGATGTAGATGAAATGTCTTTGCTAAAATATGTAATGATATTTGGAAGGCATACAAGTTTTGTAATCAAAACTTGTTGGGAAGGTGGGTGACTCATTAAATGGGCAAGTCTGTAGATGGACAAAGTGGAGTTTTAAGTACAGTACATACAATATATGTTGCTTGTACATTGTAATTTTTGTCACCATGCCTTCTCTTTTAAGTGATGTAATCTTTGTCTCACATGCTGCATGGATAAACATAGTGACATGCTTTTTAATACATTAATTCCTCAATTTCCCTATCAAATAAATAAGCATCTACATTCATTAGGCTCCATTGTGCCAAGTTGTTATTCTGATGGTTACTGTACTGTACTGCCACAATTTTATTGTGGATAGACATCCCATATTGTACTTGCAGTTACTATGAATGTTACAGATCATTTGAATCTCTTAAACACTGTAGTTCATTCTTGTTGTAATTGTGCTTTTCATATTCCTTCTTAGTCTAAATTTTACTAATTTTCACTAGACTTATTGACGTTGGATACATTTAACATGCTCTGCAAGCTGTCCATACTTTATCATATTTGTAGAGATATATTGAACATATAACACACAATCATTGTTATTCTACACTTTAGTGTTTGTGTTATATGCCAGTCTTGGTGATTTTTTTTATGCTTAAATGTCTATTTTCTGTTATGTAATATTGTTTGCTGCCCTGTGTGTTTTTTCCAGTTTACGACCAGTCTACATACAGGGCTGCTTAAATTTAGAGTTAAAAGTATTCTCTCGGATTTGCAGTCCCTTACATAAACATGTCTATTCATTTTGTAATCATTCTTTTCTGGTACAAGACAGAATGATTTTGAACCCTTATTTATTTTTTTTTATAATGAAGCTGAGTGAGAGAGCTTTGTAATTTTTTGTTTATAAAGATCTCCACTTGAAAAGAAAGAGTAATGAGTACTTTTTCAATTGTGGTCTTGTGTGTGTGTTGTATTCGATATACATTAACTCTGCTATATCCAAATTTAAATGTAGTGTAACAGGTGGCTGAGCCTTTGGTACAACTAAAAATTAACTACTAGGTCCTATGTCTTAAGTTCTTAGCCCATCTCGACTTATCATAAGCAAAACACTACAGCTAATAAACCTGTTTTCCTTAAAATTATTCCTTTAATTAATTTTTTAAAATCCTATATCATAAAAAGATATATAATTTTTTAATTATCTTGACACAAAGTGTACCATTTTTATTTTTATTAAGTGCCCAGAAAGCTTACTTTGCATCAGTTACTTCAAGTTAGCCCTCATTCCCTGCAGTAAGTAATTGGTAAACACAAATGTGTTACCCCCATGCCGTCTTCTAGCCCTGTACCGCAGGAGGTGAATCCGTCCAAGTTAAGACTATCACCAATTTCATTTGCATTGCTTTTCAAGTCTTCACCAACCTCCTTCACTTTTATAGTTTTTACAAATGTTTTTGACCTTTTAGCATTAGACTAATTATTTGCATTTTTTTTGCTCAATCCCACAGTATATACTGTGGGAATATACTGATCCCACAAATCAGTATATTCCCACAGATTTTGCTGTGGGAAGTTCTCACATTGTTTTGTGGGAAGTCCCAATCATCCACTTTTGCAAAAGCCTAGACATGTAGCAGTCAAAATTTCTACTGTTTATAGCATTGTCTTGAACATTTCAGTATACATTCCTGTCCTCTTTGCATTTTAATCGATGGCTTAAAATTCTAGAAACTATGTGCAATTTGATATGCTCTTTTGGTAATGTTACTTAAGCTAACATGGTTTGTTATTGCTATAGACTTCCAGCACCTTACTGGCTATCAGATCTTCAACTCCCTCAGTTCTTTGGATATAGAAATCCAATTTTGGCTTTTAACTTTTCTTTTAGTAAATGAAAGCAAGTGAAGTTTTGCTGGGTACCTAGTCATATTGGCATAGATTATAATGGAATGGCAAAATCTGCAATTTGGATGTGCACCTTGTTCTCAAAGCTGTGTTCCTTTTACTGATTTCTACTCGGTAATATACTCATCGTTTTTACACGATGAGAAAAGTAATTGGTAAATTTATACGGTATTAAAACTATCCACCATTAACTCGACCTTTTTTGTAGTTTGAATAAAAAAATGGAAAACTCCTTTAGTGGTCTTTTATAATAGCCATATTAGCTTTGTCACTTAGTGGTATGGAAACCTGCCAGTTAGTATATTGTCCCACATATGGTCTTCATTTTAAAATAAATACTCAGTTTTTTCAGGATGAAAGGAAACTGTTCCACGTATTCCTTTAGGACGGTTGAGTCTATACTTTGCTTCATGAGTTGAACTTTAATAAAAATCGTTTTATTCTTCTAGTTTTGTATTGGTAACTTAAATTTTGCTTCAGTGATGTGAAGTAATTCTGGCTTGCTTTTTGTTTATGATTGTATTCTTTACTAAGAACACAATCATTATAGGACACACCACTGACTATATTTACCAGTACACTACCTATAATTGGAAAATGAAAACATTAGAAGCTAGAGGTACCACAGTAATGCTACTTTTCAAAGCACTGCTGCTGTCTTGAATGGAATATTGCTCGGTTCTCACATTCTTTTTAAAAGGAGATTGTAGAGTTAGAAAATAATTAAAGAGCCTTTACTGACCACAGAACTAAATGAAGCACTGACCACTCTCGCTATGCACCTCAAGGTCGGCCGAGCGGTGTGCATGAACTCGCCACCACCCACAAATGTTTATACTTTTTCTAGCTTTCTGACCTCAATTTTCATGCTACATCATTCAATTTTGTATCAAATTGTTCCCTCTCACCCCATCAGTTACTGCCCTGCTCCTGTGCCAGGTAAGTCCACTACGGGCTCATCATGCCCATAACATCCCTCTCACTTTTCCATTTTACTTCAAGGATGGCATGTTTGCAGAAATCACTAGGTACATATTTGCAATATCTCTCCTCATATTGTTCTTACCATGCCCTTTTGTAGAGTCCCACATGGAAAATTTTGCAAAGCCCTGACCCACATGGTGGAAATTTGTGCCTCCTATTGTTATGAAAGGCCTTTTTCTTTCTTTTCATTCACACTGTCTTGCTTATTCACAGATGGGTTAAATTCTACTGATATTGTTTTTTGTATTTCCTGAAGTAACCTATATATATATTTTGTACCCCAAGACTAGCATCTTCACAACAGTGCTTTATTCAGTTTTTATGCGCTGACGTTCCTTTGTTATCATGGTTGACTCAGTCTTATAACCCTTTACATCCTGTGGTGGTTGAA